TCGTCATCTTCGTCATCTTCGTCATCTTCGTCATCTTCGTCATCTTCGTCATCTTCGTCATCTTCGTCTTCTACTTCTTCTTCGGTGCTTGCACCATCATCCAACGGCAAGGACGGCATATCTACTATGCCGTCCATCAACATGCGCGTAATATTGTACAAGCCTTCACGGTCTCCTAACTGCGTATGCAGATGTCTTTCGCTGACCCAATCGCCAATACGCGGTTCATCATGCGCGCCGCCAAAGTCCACAACCCACGCGCCATCGTTAGGATCAATCAATACATTTGACGGCCGCGCATCACCCCACGTCAAGCCCAGCTCGTGCAGAAGATCCAGCGTCTCTGTCAGCTGGACCAAAAAATCACGTCGATATTCCAGCGGCATCTCCGGGCCGACGAGCGACTCCAACGTCCCCGCGTTCTCCACATACGAGATCAGCAGCCCGAGGTACGAGCCCTTTCTATCCCCGGTCACAAGGCCACAAACCCGCGGCACGCGCAGATCGTCGAAGTCCTCGACCTCGTGTAAGGCCTTATACGTTTCCATCTCGCGCACAGCGTGCTGCCACCGCCAGCACTGCAAGGGCTTGAAGTAGCACATGGGCATATCGCCAGCCATGGTGCTGCTGCGCGGCCAGACCATCGTAGGGGGCCTTTCAAGCTCTTCCTCGTCATCGTCCGCCGGAGCAGCGAGAATATCTTCCGGCTTGAACAGCAACCAGTCCGGGTGCAGCTCGTAGCGCGGCAGCCACACGCCCAGCTGCTGATCCCGCCGTGGCGGCACGTCGTAGTCCAGGAACGGCTCGGGTACCTCCTCGACCACGTACAGCTTCCACCGGTGCTCCGGCGGGTCCAGGTAGTGCGCCAGCGTCGGGAACGGGCCCTCGTAGGTGGGCTGCTCCAGCCGCTGCATCCAGCCCTCGAAGGGCCGCAGCGCCCACCGGTACAGCTGGTCCGCCGCGTGGCCACATGTGGCGCGGTCCTCGTCTGCATCGAACATGGTTCGCGTTACCTCCGTGTACGTCTCCAGCGTGATCGGCGATTTGTAGAAGTAGTCCTCGGAGATCCGTACGACGCATCGGCGACCCTTGCAGGCGGTGGTCACGTGTGATTTCTGGTCTCTGCCATCGTAGCCCACACTCACCATGCTGTGGGTGAGCGTGGCGTCTTCATCCATGATCTAGGATGCTGAATTGTGAAGACTGCGGTTGTGGGTCTGTCCGCAGGCATAAGAGCCGCGGTGGATGGATTGACAGAAAATGTGAAGCTGCTTGCCATGCACCAGCACTCGCACTGGAGCCTGACGCTGAAGCTTGAAACGCCAATTACACGGTCGAAAATTGTCAGACCTCTGGATTATGTCATCCTGTACTAGTCACGTGAATGCCATCAGCCACAGATCTCACGGCCACCACACCGCCAGGCGGGCAACTGTGTCGGCAATCCGCCGCTTCGATCGAGCACTCTCACGTCGTAACGAACCAGTAGACGAATAAATCGACAGTTAATATCCTTATACTCGTCATGATCGTCCATAAACAGACACAAAAACAACAGAAATTCATGAACTCTATAATCTATGACCCCCTACACCTAAACCTCCTCTCCTGCCATCAACCAAAGCCCCTTACTCATCCCTCACCTCCGTCGCCCGCACAATCCCCTCCGCCATCCCGACCAAATCATCCGCCGTGACATCCAACGCGGCCTCAAAGACCCGATAACACGGCTCCCCCTCGTAGACCGTACAATACGCGCCGCGGAACCCAGCCTTGGTCGCCGCCGCCACGTCCCACAGATGTGCCGCCGCGAACCACGGCTTCTCCTCCTCTCCGTCAACATACCCCAAGGCCTCCAGCGCGGGCCGATACGCCCGGAGCGCCGGCTTGGCCACGCCCGCCGTGTCGCAGCTCAAGAAATTCTCGGCGGGCATGTCGACGCCGCCGCGCAGGAAGTAGCCGCGCACGCGCTGCGTGTCCCCCGTCGTGAGGCACCAGACCGTGAACCCGGCGGCGCGGAGGGTGGCGAAGCACTCGGCGAGGCCGGGCCGCAGGGCCAGCGCGCTGTAGCCCTCGACGCAGGCGTCGCGCTGCGCCGGGGTCGCGAAGGCCGTCGGGTTGGCGACGCCGATCATGAACAGCGTCTGGTAGAAGAGCTCCGTCAGCACCTGCTTGTAGGGCTTGTAGCTCTCGGAGATGGACAGGAAGGTGAACTGCAGCTCCGCGTTGGTCATCCACGTGAAGCCCAGGCTCTGGGCCGTGAGGTTGTGCGCCGCCAGTTGCGGGCCCAGGGTTTGCTGGATCGTCTCGTAGAAGGCGCTGAAGGAGACGCAGGTGCCGACTACGTCGAAGACGACGTTCTTGCTGGTCATTTTTTGCGTGCGTGCAGGTGTGGTGTTATGTGTTCAGTTGGGTTGGGTTGGGCTGGGCTGGAGAGGAATGGAGTTGAGGCTGGTTGGTGGTGATGATTCAGTAGGGGGAAGAACATCAGGAGGGGTAGAGATGAGGTCGGAGTCGCTTTTCGGTCTTATCGCCAGCCGATACCGGGCCCGCGGCCGTGCGGGGAAATCTTAGTCGCGGCGGACACACGGCCGGGCAATCTATCGCATGCAGCTAGTTTGCTTAGGGAGCGTTAGTCGACATGGCCCCCACGCCTCATACATTGACCCGCGATATGAGATATGGGGTGGATATGCGGAGCGCTCGATAATCTCGATAAGCTCAGGGGTAATTGATGGTTTATCTTGCTCTCTATGCTTGACACATTCGGTGCTAGATAACACTGCCCGGACTGCTGCTACTTCAGTATTGCCCTTTCGGGCAACTAAGAGGAGAAACTGGAAGTAAATTATACAGTGGTAAGACACGGCAGGTCCAGTCGTCTCAGTCGTCTCAAAGATAAAAGAAGATAATACAGATTGATTATGACATTAGCTATGCAAATGAACACGCAAGATAAGTCGCTAGAATACAGACACACTATACTCGATCAAATCACACCCACCAAGTGGCATCATCCCCACAGAAAGTTCAACCGTCTAAGCCCGCGCTTCGGTTCCGGCTCAGGATCGGGGTTGGCTTGGTAACGCTCGATGAACGGCCGAATTGGCACATCCTCCAACCCAATGATCTTGCTCTTGGCCCAAAATTTATAGCCGAAATACAGGGCAAAAATGATGGGGACATTCAAGTATGAAGAAATGAATGTCTCCGTGGACCACTGGCCGTGGATGAAAGTCTGATACCCACCAGTCAAGAACAGAAGGCTGAAAAGCCCCAGCGCAAACCAGGTACCCCATGGCTGAAACGGAGCAGCCCAGGGCAGCTCCTTGTGCCGATCAATGCCCTGTCTTTTGCATGCGTAGAGAAAGCGCAGGTACACGATGCAGATACATCCCCAATTGACCAGGGTGGAAATCGAGACGATGTCCTGTAACCAGGTGAAGACGGTACTGGCCGAACTCGACAGCGTCATGTAGCCCAACGCCATGAAAACCCCCAGGATTGTCACGGCCACATACGGAATACCGAAGCGGTTGATACGCTTGAAGCACTGGGGTGCGTGGCCTTCGGCCGCCATCGCATACATGATGCGCGAACCGCCCAGCATGTTCGAGTTGCCGGCGGACCAAGCGGAGGTGAGTACCACAGCATTGATAATGGATGGGACGACTTTGAATCCGGCGTTCCGAGCTGCGATAACGAACGGGGACTCAGACGCAGTGCCCGAGGACCCCAGAAGGTTGGGGTCGTCGGAAGGGACGACTAGCCCGATCATGAAGATGGTCAAGACGTAGAAGAGTAGGATCCGGACAAAAATGCGACGAGCGGCCATGGGGATGGCATGACGGGGAGAACGTGTTTCCGCGGCTGCGACGGTAATGTTTTCGATTCCACTATAGGAATACAAAGCACTGTTCAGTGCTGTCCAGAATCCCAGGAAGCGCCCCAGGGAGCCTCCGATGCCAAGGTATTGCACAAACGGGCCCGGGTCGCGCCAATAGCGAAATCCAATGCTGGTTCGATCCGGGCCTCCACCGCAAGTAATCACCAGGGCCATGAGGTTGATTCCTATGACCAGCATGATCTTGAGGATGGAGAAGCCGAATTCAAGCTCGCCGTAGACGCGCACAAACACCAAGGCCGTGAGCAACATGAGAAGACCAAACACGGTGATCCAGACAGCATTGTTGATTGTGGTCCAGAATTCGATGACCACGGCGGCAGCAACAATCTCGGATGGGATGGAGACGAGATAGGAATACACTTGGTTCCACCCATTGGCGAAGGAGAGGGCTGGGTCCACGAACAACTCAGCATAGCGAATGACTCCACCCTGGAGCGGAACGAGACTGCCCATCTCGCCCACCGCCGCCACCACGCTGAACACCGCCCCACCGATGATCGTGTATGCCAGAAAAGCTCCCAGCGGTCCTGCGTGGGCAATTGCCCGTCCTGAACTCAAAAACAACCCAGTGCCTATCGTCCCGGCTAGAGCAATCATCTGAATGTGACGCTGGTGTAGCCCCTGATGAAAATCACGAGCTTCATCGAGGTGGCCGGGTGCGGCGGCCTCAAGGTCCCCGCCATACTTTTCGTTGGTCTGTTGGTAAGGCGGCTTTTTCTCCGAGGGGGCGGAAACATCCATAGTGACAGAAGATTGCGTGAGAGAAATCGAGGCCATGATTCACAGAAACGAGAGAGCAAGAGTGGCGCCATTTTGTATTGTGCACACTGATGCCCAATACCCCGCATTGGAAATCGGAATTCCCTTGTTGGTCCATGAAGATGAAGCTAGTTACCATGGTGAGGATCGACTGTCTGTGACCGCTGTTGTTGTGGTTTGTGTTTGCTAGACGCTTATCAGATGATTAGGTCCGGCTCCAATTACCTATTCGGGACGGGCCGCCGTCTGGGTGTGTGCGTGTGAAGGAGCGACCGACCGACCGACCGACCGACTGACTGATAGTGAGTGCCAGCCGTCCGACCGCCTGACCGATAAGATAGTCGACGCGATAAGCACACCAAACAATACAAACGATAAAACGATAGAACGATAAGCCTCGGCTGTTATCGCCGACTCCTTAAAAAGGATGCACGGGGCGCGCGATAACTAAACTTCACCACCGCAACTCTACGCCCATCAACCTACACACCCGACCTTCCTCCTAACCATGCCGACTTCCACTTGCTTTCCAGGCTCCAATCCAGGAGAGTGCTTCTGGCAGAATCAACCCCATGAATTACACAACTTTCGGTCCACCGAACAACTACCCGAGCAGTCAGAGGTGGTGATCATTGGCGCCGGGTACGCTGGCACGAGCACCGCGTACCACCTGCTTCGCGACCATGGGGACGCCATCAAGTCAATCACCATTCTGGAAGCGCGAGGGGCCTGCTCCGGGGCGACCGGCCGCAATGGAGGACACCTCCGTCCGGACTTCTACGGCCACATTCCGACCTACATCGACCGGGCGGGCGTCCGCGCGGGCGCAGAGATCGCGGAGTTCGAGATCTCCCACCTCCACGCGATGAAGAAGTTGATTGAGGAGGAGCAAATTGACTGCGACTTCACTCTGACGCGCTCCATCGACGTCTGGTGCAACGAGGAGGCGGCCCAGAAGGCCAAAGCGGTGTATGATCGCATGAGGTCGCTGAACCTGGATTACATGAATGACGTGGTCTTTTACACCGGCAAGGATGTAGAGGGGGTGAGTGATTTCGACCACAAGATACCCCATGCCCCCCCCCCCAAACTCACGCAAATGTACTAATCACCCAGCGCAGATCTGCGGGGTCAAGGGCGCCAAAGCCTGCGCCTCGTTCACGGCGGGAACGATGTGGCCATACAAATTCATCCTCCACCTCCTCAAATCGGCTCTAGCGTCGGGCAAGGTGAACCTGCAGACGTTTACCCCGGCCCAGTCCATCACCCCCGCACCCCACGGCGGTTTCACCATCCAGACCCCGCGCGGCAGCCTGCACGCCGCCACCGTCATCCACGCCAACAACGCCTACGTCGCGGGCCTGCTGCCCGAATACGCCAAGAACATCGTCCCGTGCAAGGGGATTTGCTGCCGCATCACCGTGCCCGCGGGCACGACCGCCCCGCTGCTCAACAACTCCTACATCAACCGCACCGAGGACAACACCCTCTCCTACCTGATCCCCCGCGCCGACGGGAGCATCGTCGTCGGCGGGGCCTCGTCCAAGTTCCGGCCCTTCAAGGAGCAATGGTATAACAACGTTGACGACAGCGAGCTCATCGACGCCGCCAAGGACTACTACGACGGCTACATGCAACGCACGTACCGGGGGTGGGAGAACACCGGGGCGAAAGTCGACCAGATCTGGACGGGCGTCATGGGGTACTCGTACGATTCCAACCCGCACATCGGTGCGGTGCCCGGCAAGGAGGGCCAGTTCATCCTGGCCGGGTTCAATGGCCACGGCATGCCGGTCATCTGGCGCTCCGCGCAGGAGTTGGCCCGGATGGTGGTGCAGAAGATTCCCTTTGAGGAGACGTGCATGCCTCGTCTGTTCCAGACGTCTCAGTTCCGCATCGATCGCGCGATGAACGGGTCGGAGGACGATGGGGATATTCTCGGCACGGGCAACTTTCCCTCCACTAAGCCTTGATTCACTCCGGAAGGTAGCCTGAGAATGGCATTTGTACATATATTGAATTTCTTGAAGATAATACAATGAGTGACGGCTGTTTCGTTATTACACTTGCTCGCGACTCTGGTGGTTCGAGTTAGCATGTAGATCGGCTGCAGCAGTTGTGAATCATTCTATGACCGCACCTGCATCCAAATCGATAATCTAGTTGATGACATTCTAGTTGCGCATATAGGAGATAGCAGTCTACCCCATCGCTAAACATCCCACCATCCTTCCAAATAAGATTTCAAATCAATATGGTCCGGTTGTTGTAAGTGAGGTGTCAAGTCCGCATCAGGCTGCATCTCTCGTGCTGTCCACCCGTTTCCCAAGTAGGCGAATCTGTTCCCGCTTGGGTTCGTATACGTATACTCCCAGTCCTCCCACCGCGGGTCCCGCCGAACGAAATTTGCCAGACTGGCACTTCCTGGAAAAAGCCCATGCACAAACCCATTCGGTCGGCCCCCGTTCATCCACGACCGACAGTTTGCCTTCCCTGGCGTCGAGTCATCGTTGCCTGTCCAAACCGTCCGCGGGAAGAACGCATGGCAATACTCGAGGAAGTCATCTGCCGCGGCCTTGGCCGGCACGAATGTGCGAACTCCCTGGCTCCGCACTTTGCGAATCATCTTCGCAATATAGGTGATCTGGTTCTCCACGCAGTTGGGGATCGTCCCGCTGGGGCCGACAACGTGGGCCCCGCCCAGCCAGAGCGCATTGGGGAACCCGGGCGTCGCCGTTCCGAGATACGTGTAGGGGAACCCGTATATCCCGTCGGATGCCCACGCCTCGCAGAGATTTACCCCAGAGGCCACAACCGGGAACGGTGGCACGAGATCGGAGTTGGCGCCCGTCGCGCAAATCACTACATCCGCGCGCCTTTCCACCCCGTCTACCGTCTGGATCCCGTCCCGCGTCAGGCGCTCGATCCCCGACCGGATGAGCTCCACGTTTGGCTGGATCAGCGCTTCCAGATAACCCGGACCTGGGGTGGGACGGCGACAGCAGGGCGGGAAGTCCGGGATCAGGTCGCTGAGGAGGGTCTCGTTGTGCTCGACACGGGTCAGCATCGAGGCCGTCCACATCTGCCGCAGGAAATCGTTCTCGGGCGAGTCCAGGAAGCAGGTGGCGAACCCGCGGAAGAACTCGGCTTCTTTTTCCTTCCGGTACTGTAGGTAGGTCTGCGGGTCGCGGAAGGATTCCAGCTTGTCCGCTGCGAAAGACGCCCGTTGCCAGTCCCCGTCGACGTTGGGCGGGTGGACGATCCAGGTTCGGCTGCGGGCGTAGTGATCGATCTTGGCGGCGATGGGTTGGATTTCGGGTAGGATCTGAATGCCTGATGCACCGTTGCCGATGAGAGCGATTTGTTTACCTTCGAGCGGGACGCTGTGGTCCCAGTTGGATGAGTGGAATATGGCGCCTTGGAATTGATCTATGCCTTTGAAGTTGGGGATGCGCCAAGTGTTGAAGTACCCGATTGCGGTGATGAAGATGTCGAAGGTTTCCTCATAGATCTTTTCTCTTGTTAGCACGAGTTGGATTAGATTATGGGATAAGGTACGCGTCGTCACCTTGTCATCTCGAAGATCTTGGATGGTAACTTTCCATTTGGCTTCCCCCGTCTGCCATTCCGCTCGAAGGACTTTGCGCTGCAGACGCAAGTACTTGTAGACATCGAACCGACGGGCAAGGTCCTGCCAGTACTCGCGAATCTCTGGTCCTTGCGCGAACTCTTCTTTCCACTGAGTGTTCGGCGCGAAGCCGGACTGGTAGACGTGGGCAGGCACATCACACCGCACACCAGGATAGGTATTCTCGAACCTGTACAACAGAGAAGTGAGAAAAGCACGTTAGAGGTGTCAAGGATACCAGGGATTGCAACGTACCATGCACCGCCCTACAAGCCCGTCTCAGGATTGACTGCTCTGCATACAGCTCCAACGAAAAGAATGGTAAAGGGGCAGCTTACGACATCTGCATTTTTCTCCAGGATGGTCAGATCGATCCCTGGCACTTTGGAAGGGAGTAAGATCCCTGCTGTAATCCCCGACAGTCCCGCCCCGACAATTCCCACGCGAATCCCACGTGGCTGGTCACCGGGATGGTCCTCGATGCTGAATCTCGGTCGTGTTGTCGCAGCCTCGACAGGGGTGATTTCTTTGTCCACCACCACGGGCTTTGCTTTCTCGGGAATTGACGGCTTGTGACATCCCTGCTGGCGGTTAGGAAGCTTGTGAGCTCTGAGCGCTACGGTTTCGGCCATCCTTGCGTGACTGATGTAATTCCTGTTGTTGAGATTGAATCTCCTGTGTTCTGTGTAGGAGGACGAGCGCTAGATGGTGAGTTCCTTTCTCTATTTCATGTCTTCCCATTAAGCTTCCTCGCGAGCAATTAAATTTCAGCGCCTTGGCTAGGGAAAAGCTGTGGGGTGGGAGAATAATAGGCACGCTGGTGCACACAATAGACAGGTGTATTATTTCTCAATCGGTTCTATTGTTCTCTGGTACGTACCCGTTACATTACACTCAGATCTCGCTTACCAGATTTAGGCCCGGGTCTACCACGCCTGCGCTTTCTTTATTCCTTTGAAGGTGCTAAGTACACGTGGCTATGCTCATTCCTTTCACCCAGTCTATGGGTTCATATTTAAGGTTGTCTTGAGATGATTGCGCTATGCAAGTTGCGCGGCGCCGCGATCTTGGCTACAGGGTACAATAAACTAGTCTTGGGGTACAGGTTTGCAAGGCCAACACTTGACAAACTGGATATGAACTTGCTCAACTGCAGCGCAGACATTCGATTTTAGCAAATAATTACGAATTACTTCGATATCTGACAGCTAAAACCGCCATGGGCTGGGACACCATGCCCTCGCTCTTTGAAGTGTATATGTGGAGCAACTTAATCGCTCCTGCGGCACCACATCCAACCAGCAAGAATATCTTGGCAGAATTATTGTATGCTTTGCTACGAATGAAATAAAGTTTGAAGCACTACCTAGTACCTAGTAGTCTCCGCTAACCGGGATCCCGTCAGAAAGGGATCAAATCTTTTTGTTTGCCTTCTCATCCGTATTGCTTTGTCATATGATGGGCGGACTAGCCAACTCAAGGCAGGTGTATTCCATCCGAACGACGGATCTCGGCCCCATCGCCACCCTTCGCGTCTAACCTTGAATCCGAGTGATATAGACAGGATCCATGAAAGATGGGTAGCATCATACCAAACTTGCTGGAAGCCATTACATCGCTTCATGTAGACACATTGGCGTTATGTAGCATGTAAACATATACGGTCGGTCTTAGAGCCAGTGCCTCTGAGAGACGCTCTTTCCTATGCTTCGGGGTCGGAGCACTACCACAGCGCAGCCCACTGAATCGTGGCTTCGGTGATTGTTTACTCAAACATGACGCTCAGAAGCTGGCTTTACTGGGCTCCTTTACGCAGAATTTCATTACTCGCGCCTTGCGAGCTGTATGGTGAACTGGGCTAATATTAAGTCTAACTGGTTGGCGAAGAGGTTGGTATGTATTCTATTCTTAGTAGAGTTGAGATCCTTGGACATTAGACATCAAAAAGCGGAATAAAAGAGTACTAGGAAATATTGAGCTGGGTATCGCGGAAAAAAGAATCGAATCGCTCGGGTTTACCTGAGGCCTCAGCCACTGCCACATATGTGTCGGGGCGGATCAGATATGCCGCATTCCGTGCTAATCCTGCTTGGCCATACTGAGAGGTCCAGCTAAAGCAATGCAACGGAATGTTTCTCAGCTGGCACCATTTCACCAGCTCAGTCGAAGGGTCGCCGTACACATGGACCTGCCAGGTGATTTCCTTCAGAGATTCGTAGTTGTCGCCCTCACCTACTGACACCCATGGTAGCCGATCTCCACCCTTGATAGTGCCGGCAGACCCGGCAGACAGCAGGCTGTGTTGATACTGTATCTTGAGCTGTGACAAGCCAAAGAATATCCGTCGACGAACAAAGCCAAATTTGACTGCAAGCTTCACGACAAACGGAATGAGATAACTGCGCAGGAAATTGGCCAGCCAGCCTCTGGCAGCCAGTTTGTTGAAGGCCGAATCGGTTGTCTCGACGAGAGTCAGCGCAAAGGCTCGTCGCTCCGACTCGTAGGTATCTAGTAGTGATGCATCCGCCTTTCGCTGTAATACAGTAGCCAACTTCCAAGCGAGATTGATCGCATCGCCGATGCCTGTGTTCATCCCCTGTCCTCCCACTGGACTATGGATATGGGCAGCGTCCCCAACGAGAAACGCGCGACCGCTCCGGAACTTGTCGGCCACGCGGTGATGAACTCGATACGCCGTGAACCAGTTCACCTTGTCGATTTGCATCATCTGGCGCATAGCTGGTGTGGCGAGGGCCAGGTCCTCGAAGTTGACCTTCGAAATATCCTCCTTGGCTTGGATGTGGGCCAGCTGCTTCCCATCCACGTTGCCTATCAGTCGCGCATGTCGCTTAGTTTCGTAGGCAAGAGTGAGGAAGGTGACATCGCCGTCGAGTTGGAGGTGTCCTTCGCCATTGATGGCAGGCCCTTGGCCCTCGATATCGGCGACAAAGAATATTTGACCATACGTCTCGCCGGTGAACTTGATCCCTGCCGTGTGCCTGACCGCGGAATGGGCGCCGTCGCACCCGACAATGTACGCGGCTTCACACGTCTGGAGGTCATCTGCTGCTTCGCTCGACTCCAGCGAGGGATTCCGTGTTCTCGGGTCCCTGAACCGCGCCACCACTCCGCCATCGTTCTCCGCGAAATCCACCAACTCCATGTTCCGTTCCACCTCCACCCCGAAGTCTTTCAACCGCTCTTCCAGCAATCTCTCTTGCACATCCTGAGGAACAATCAAGATATACGGATACGGCGTCAGCCCCATTCCGAAGTGACCGAAGGGGATGCGAAACCGATGCACTCCCTGTGTCCAGATATTCGTTGCCCCCAACGAATGGCCCAGGGCCACCAGCCGATCTCCGAGATCCAATTGTCGATACAGCTCGAGAGTCCGAGCATGGACTGCCAGCGCGCGGGAGGTTGTGGCGGTGCGTTCCGCTCGGTCGGTGATGCGGACCTTGATGCCTTGGCGCGAAAGCCAAAGTGCCGTGACCAGGCCGGTGGGGCCTGCGCCGACGATGAGGACTTCAGTTTCGTGCATTTTCTGCTTTGCTTGTCTGTTCGAATATGGTGTTGATACAAAGTGGAAAGTCGCTGACTCTTTATACCAGTGCACATTGCTTGGCGAAAACAGCAAGGCTGACCCATCACCTGACTGGGAAGAGTCAAGTCACAAGCGGTCGGGGAGACCAGGAGGCTCGGCTCTCGGTTTTCCGTTAGAACCGATGGGGCGGGAAATGCGGGCCTCGCAAGGCCGGCCACCGCTGGCGGGCCCCGTATTCCAGATCCATGATCATTAAGTCAAGGCCGATCGATAAGATCGCTCAGCTGGTTATTTTGTAGCTCTCAGCATATGTGAACAGGAAGTAGGCTTGTAGTTAGCGTTCTTGATGAAACCGTCATAGATATAGTATATCTGAGGCGGGACAGGTCGAGCTGCCCCGTCCCAACGATTATCCCCAGCTGTCCACCATCAAGTTAGGTGACCAAACCTTAGCTCCGATATTTTCATTTCAGCTATCATTCAGCGTTTAGGATGATTCGTCTACTTTTTCAGAATTTATATTCGGAGCGATACAGATATCCATACCTAGTGGGCTTCGCCGGTAATTGCCACACTGAATAATGGTTGTAAGTAACTTCAGGATATGCTTGGCATACACTTTGGTGTGGAAAAACGCGGTGGAAAAATGCGGCTGTGCGTAGGGTGCATGGTCGGACAGTATGAGACGGCGCGGACTCCAAGGCCTTCCTCCGACGGCCCCACTACAAAGCTGAGCAGACCCGCCCGCACATTCTTGTCATTGACCAACTCCCTCAGCGAACGAGTCCCCCAGATGACCAGTCATTCAATAGCCTAGGACTTCAATTTGATTTTAGGGACATGCTGCTTCCTGCATAGCGTGCAGCTCCCTTCGCGCAGCTGAGAATCATGACCAGTCCGATTCCACGGTCCGGTTTCTGACCGTCAACAATATCAAAGTCGACTCCGAGGCTCATGAGTTAAAGGCAAGTCCGCGGGCACCACAAGACCTCCTGTCGTCCTTCGCCTCTCCCAAAACATTTTAACTTCAGCCCAATAACTGTCGGAATGATCTCTCACCAAGGCGCAGTGCGGGCTATCTGGAAAAGTGATCCGTTTCACTGCACAACACTTCCCCAAGTCGGCAGCCGCCTCTCTCTGGTGCGACTCCACATCCTCCCATCGAACCATTTGATCCGCTGTTGAATACAAACATAGCCTGGGAGCCGTCCTCCCAAACACCGCTGGGTCATTCAACTGCCGTCACAGGCCCCGAATCGAGCTCATCCATCCTGTCTGCTGAAGTCCAGTAATAACGCCAATCACCGGATAAAGCAGTACTCTGCCGACCGCTTGCGCCAGCACTGAGGACGGCGGTAAAGAGTGCACTGCGGCCTGGTACGCGCGCCCGAAGGAAGTATTACCCGGACAGCAATCGAAGATGATCCCGCCCAGATATCTCCCCAATTCGAGTGGTGGGTGACCTCTCGGATCCTCCATCTGGAGAGAGAGGGCTAATTGGATGGCGGTGTTGCACCCGCCATGAGAGAAGATATGCAGAAGGATTGACTGGCTGTCATTGTGGTCGCCGCTGCTGATCAACCGCCGCAACACATCCCGGGCCGGGGCCAGGCGCGCGTGCAGGACGCTGAAAGGGAGTAGACCGATTTCTAGGATGCGCGTCGTGGTGAGAAGAATCGCAGAGGTCGGATACAAGCCCTGATAGCCTGAGATGTATTTCTGGATCCGCGGGGGCGTGGCGCCTCCCAGCCAAGTACAGAGAGTGATCAGGGCGGGGCCACTGCTCGCTGGCTCGGGAGGTTGGAAAAAGTGGATGTTTTCGCCGATCGGCTGTAGAGGGTGGAATTGGAAATCCTTCGCCATGGTCTATTAGTTTTCTCTGATAGCAATATCTATCAAGTGTAGAGATGCAGACCATAAACACGTCTCTGTTGGTGCAAGAAGAAAAGAAACAAAGGAGAAAGAAACGAACAACAGAGGTGTGGTGGGCAAGCAAGGAAGCATTGACCTAGCCTGCAGTAGAAGTAGATATACCCGAGGTTACTTCTTGGCTCTTTAGGTAGTAAGTTGAGTCGAACAGGCCTAGTGCGTACAGCATGATGAACGCCTTGCCAATGGAAGCCTAACAGTTTCAGTATCGGGGGAACTTGGAAACTATACAGGTGTTCCAGTTCGGAGGAATCCCATCTAAAGAATTGAAATACAACTCGCGATGATAGTCTACGATCAAACAGTAGTCACCATAATCACTTCAGCGCTTTTCGCATCGTGAACTATCAGTAATGATACCTTCTAAAATGTTCCCTAGAAGAAGCAGTGAGACTATTCAGAAACTCGTGGCGAGTCTTGCCGGCACTGATCTATAATACCTTGTACACGAAGCCCAGTGCAGGCTCGCTGTGAGTCTAATTCGGTGCAGATTGGATTGCGAGACCTGTAAAACTGCATATATCTTCGCAAACTAGCAACGGCAGCAGGTCTACCAATTGATGGTCGCCAGGCTGTGCTATGTCTATCAGTTCTCTGAGCCACGCTTGTATTGAAAGCAAATAAATACATATTAGTTCATAGGAAATGATTTTGCATATTTTAGATGGTGTGTGTTCTGACACATATTCAAGCAGGCCGAAACCAGATTCAGCAAACGCGAGGACACCTTAGGCCTTGGCGTGATATATCCACAAAGCATACCTGAATAAAGTACTTACCAAATGAGATGACTGCTGAGAACCCTGTAACTAGTAGCCACAATCTAAGATCTAACATTCGCTACTTTACGCCCGGTGGCTTGGAAATGGTGGAGTAACCACAGCTTCCCTGTAATTTGTAGTACTGTACAGTACGTACTGGGTACGGTGCATACCTAGCCCCCAGGTGGCGCAGATATCCATGCAGATCGCTCCGCAATATCCGTTAATGAGATCCGGACGGAGAGATCTGAGTGGTACATAGTAACACCGGATCCAGTTCAATCGATCAGCTTGTATCGAAGCGTGAATAGAAATATGACGTCATGGTCCACTCAACGTGAAGTTTGCGCTTCTAAGCCATATTAGGCTACACTTGTGCCTAAGGCTTCAGGCATCTATGAAATGTCTGCCTAGACTAAGCCTAACCAGAGTATCGGTGCCTGGTTATTGTGCCAGAGCGGTGAGTATTTCTGCCTACAGGCACCGGAGGTGAAGTTTACACTAGCCCGCTTTGGGAAAGTACTCAGTCCGATCAATGATGGATCTTCTGGACTTTAAGTTATAACACGGCAAGACACCTCCACCTCGATGTGGATCGTTGACAATTACATCTTCCTTTCAGCTCGCTCGGTTGAGAGGCCTTCGTCCCTTGATTCTTAAATCCTCAACTCGCTCCCCTTAAAAACTTACTTGACTCCTTTCGCATCGTCACCTCTCTCCTTCGCTCGCCCCAAACATGGCGAATATGCTTACACTCCCATCTCTACCGGTCAACCACCGGAATCTCCCCAGCTGGATCGAAAGCCAGCCCCTCGCCTCAGTCCATGATCTTGTGCAACCGTACAATCAATACGATGCGGTCGTACGCAAGCTGTTTGCCCAGGAGCCATCTCATCCCCTCCTAGAAGATCCTCACTTGAATGTCGTTCCACTGTACAATGAGAATGGCACGGCCAATATCCACATGCGGGCACGCCAGCTAGAGTCGGAAACTCCGCAAGAGAAAGAGAAGTATATTCTACCATTGAAAGGCGAAGACCGTCGACCCAGTGGTTCTCCAGCGGTGGTCCCGAAGCTGGAAGACTTCCAACGAAACTTCACTATCTTTTCTGAAGGCGCATTGAGTGATTTTGACTGGTCGAATGTGGTGGTCGCAGGAAGTGCTGTTGTGACTTGCTTACTTCCAGTGCCAGAGAAATACAATGACTCGAAGCGTTCGCTGCGCCAATTCTATCACGAGAAGATAGCGCCCGCGTCCGATGTTGATATCTTCTTATATGGGCTGGGTGAGCAGCAGGCCCTGGAGAAGATCAAGCAGATCGAAGACCGGATCAAGAACACCATCCTCTACGAGACGACGACGGTCCGAACCAAGAACACAATTACAATTGTCTCCCAGCATCCAACCCGCCACATTCAAATTGTCCTGCGCATCTACAAATCAGTAGCGGAGATTTTGACTGGATTCGATGTGGACTGTTCTTGCGCCGCCTTCGACGGAAAGCAAGTCTATGTCTCGCCTCGTGCTTTGGCGTCATATCTTACACAGATTAATACCATTGATCTGACAAGACGCTCCCCATCTTATGAAAGCCGCCTTTCTAAATACTCTCATCGTGGATTCGAAATCTTCTGGCCAGGGCTTGACAGATCACAAGTCGATCCAGTAAGTCGGCACCTGCAAGACATACTTCTGATCTCTGGACTAAAGACCTTGGACAGACGATATTCGAGCGAAGTTTCACGAGGGTAGTTGGTTTGGCCCGCTTGTTGGTTTTAGAGAGACTACCCAAGCAATCCGACCGAGACTTTTACATTGAACAAAGACGAGAGGAACGTGGTCGGCCGGCACCCAAAAGCAGGTCATGGCGGAGGGGCGTGCGTGGTGATCTCAAGAGCGACTGGGATGACGAAATTGCGGAGTGGGAGAACGAAGACCATATCTCCTCATATGAGACATTCGTACGTCTTCTTGTCTGTTCTACAACGGGCTGACCTGCTGATATTCTAGCATTAGAGAATTCCATATGGACCGAGGTACAACGCTAAGAGAATCGAGCGACTTATTTACGCAAAGGACCTGTTACTCAACGCGGAATGGAACAAGAAAAAAGAAAGACAGGTTGACCTTCACAGGCATCCTGCTTTCTTTGGAAATGTGGAGGATGTTATCCAAGATTGTTGTGGTTGTTGTCCCAAACCAATATCGCCCGAGGACTATGAGATTGCGGAAAAGGAAAGCAAGATTTATGTCTCGGGAGACATTTCCTTCATCAAGGATGATCCTGGTCGCCAAGAGATCGGAAGTTTCAACCCAACCACAGATACCGAGTGGACTGGTAAGCGCAATTCACCTGATGACAAGGCTTCTACTGACAACCGAAACAGATATGGCCTATCTGGGACACACCGAAGTACTTTGCCAGGCGATCGTTGACTGTGACCTTGAAAAGGTGCGGGAATGTGTCTCAACGGACGCCCTAAGTGTGAACAGTCGCGATTGCACGGGCCGCACACCGTTACATCTAGCTTGCATGTCCTCAACACCAGCAATTGTGCAATGCCTTGTCGGTCATGGCGCAAGGCTGGTGTCTCACCTGGCGGATGGCCGATCTGCCCTACACCTAGCCGCAGCACAAGGGTCGGTGGATATGGTCCGTATCTTACTCATGAAGAGTGAGCAAAACGAAGCCGAAGCAGATAAACTCAAGGTGTCGGCAAATGAGGGGAATGATCCTAGTTCTGCTGAGGAGGCACAGTCTTTCACTACCGGGTCATTCGTGAAGGTCGACAAGAATCTTGATACGGACATCGATGATCCGCTCCCGATTGACGACGCGGAAGATGAACCTGATGTTTATGACATAAATGCCGCGTCCTGGGATAGTCGTACAACTGCACTTCATCTAGCCATTCTCAACGGCCATGCTGATGTGGCCCACGAGCTCGTGTCATCATTCGGAGCAGACGTGCTTTTGCCGGTGAAGCTGGTGCATGATTACGACAACAGTCCCAAGGCCGCTATCTTGAACCTGGTACTCACACTCAACCTACTTCCCACTGAGGCAGCTACAATGACCGAAGCTCTTCTGAAGCTGGGCGCATCGCCAGCACAAGCTGATATGGACAATACCACCCCGTTGACTTACGTCGTTGCCTCTTGGTACAACAACCTTCTGGACGTCTTTATGAGCTACAGCGCGCCCGCAACGAAGAAAGCAATTAATTACTTCACTTGCAGAGGTTCTTCTTGGTATCCCAAAATCTTTACGCCACTCATTGCGTCGATCTCGTCAAGGAATTATGAAGGGGCACATAAACTGTTGCAAGCCGGGGCAAGCCCATCAATACAATTCGAACAGTTCGTCAAGCCTGGCCAAGGGGCTTACGAGCAACTTCGAGACAGATCAAATGATCGGCTGAAGGAAATCTTCCGACACCGACTGACACAGCCTATCATGTTAGCGATCCAACAGGATCTACCATTGCTTGCGCTCGAGCTCTTGGAACTTGGAGCTGACGCCAATACACTGACACCCGAGGCCTATAGGGCTCAGGATGAGGATTACCAGCTGGGAAGCAATGGTGATGGCATGTCTTTGCTGGACTGCGTTCGAAATAAGCTCAAGGCGCTTCGTGCCTATCCGGAAGATGACTCAGAACAACGTTGCTGGCAGACATACAGCTTCGAAAAAGACTATTTCTCTGATCTCACTGAGAATACATATCAATGGTGGTCGACAAAAAATCTTGTGTGGGACGCCAAAAAGCAGAATCGGGTACAGAAATTTTGGGGCCGCAATTCCAACAACCAGGGTCTGGAAGAGAATGGTCAAGCAGAGAAGGATCTAGCTGTTCAAGCCCTTCTCTCTGATTTCGAGACCTTAGAAGCTGCCCTTATTAGCAAGGGAGGCAAGCCTCTCTACGAGCTACGCCCAGATCTCATCGAGTTCCAAGAAGAAAGTACAAAGGAACAGAAGAAGCTCAAGCCCTTCGAGCCCGAGTTCCAATTCTCCAATGTGCGCGATATGACTGACAAAAAGCAGGAAGCCTATGTTGAGCTGTAAGTATCACACCTGTTGGGCTTTTTATAAGTACATTCTAACTGTCAATCCCTCAGGTTTCAAGCAGCTTGGGCTGGCGACCTGGACACTGTCAAGCGCCTTACCTTGACAGTTGAAGACGCCGAAAACGACCATCTGCCACTGCAGATTGCTGCGCGCGATGGACATGACTTTTCTCCATTCTCTATTGCCGCCATACGTGGGCACTATCAGCTGGCGAAGGTTATCCTCAAGATCGCACAAGCGCAATTCAAGCCGAAAGATTCCGAGGTCCATGAAGAATATGAGTTGGACCTGGAAGACAGTGATTTGTTGCTCGACGACAGCGACGGTATCGGTTTCCGCAAGAACGTGGTTTCTAGCAAGTTCACCACCGAAGACATAGGCGAGGCGGTAGAGCAAGTTGAGAGTGAAGTCTCCGCTTTTGAAATGTTCAACTGGAACTGTCAGGGGGCTAGGTAC